ACAATTCCTGCATCCCTTCTATTATTGATGGGTGCCTAAATAGTTTCCAGTGTGCAGAATCTATAAATGGGCTATTGTGAAAATTCTTGTCCATGTCTTTTGAGGAACATTTATACACATCCCCACTCAGGGAACAGCCTGACATATATACACACAACTTTAAAAGACACTGCCAATGGCCCTCCCTGCTGGCACAGCGGGTTAAAGCACAGCACTGAGAAGCTAAAGCCACTTCTGCATGAGTTCGATTCCCGCCTGCCCCAGAGGTGACCACATGGTGTGGCAGACCTCTCCTGGCCCGCCCACTGCTCCCCTCAGCAGTGTACTTCGTAGATCTGCCTGTTCTGCTCCCCACTCTGTCTCTGGTGAAGCCTCTCACGGACCCTGAGCCTCTGGCCTGTACCCCAGTTCTATATGAATAAATAAATAAATCTTTAAAAAAAAAAAAAAAGACACTGCCAAACATTTTTTTTTTCCTAAGCAGTTGTGCCAATCTCCTATCATCAGCAATGAGAGTTCCAGTTACTCTCTAATCTTTAATAGTTCTCCTTTTAGCAGTTCTGGTAGACATGTACTGGTATCACTGGAAGTTATTTTCTGAAAGTACCAACTTCTTTCAGAAGTTCTTTAAGCTAAGTGGGCTGTAAATACCACTGAAAAGTTAAAATTGCTCAAATGGAAGTTAGAGAGAAATTTTTTTCCACATATCTTCCTTTTTGTGATTTAGGGTTCTTTTTATATACTATATATATTATTAATTTGAGAAATTTGTGTCCCTATGATTCTTGGTGTTCAGATGCTGGTGGGTTTGCCAATTTTCTACTGAGGAAGATATTATTACCTTCCTAAGCCAACTGAGGCTTTGTATGGATAATAATTTTAAAGTAAGCTAAAGTCATGTATAGTCCACCCAGAGAAAATTTTATATGTATAAAGATGTTTAACAGCATCATCAAGCCAAAAACCCTCACTAAATCTCCTTCAGACACAGCTAGTAAAAACACTATGTGCAGCTGAGTAGAAAACAGCACTTTTTTTTTTTTTTTTTTGAGGAAAAGAGGGAGAAACTTTGGCTCCAACATAGCAGTGAATTTCTTACCAACTGTAAGTTCCTCGGTGCTGTGCTGGTATTTAATATACCCTGGGTCAAACCACATCTCATTTCATAACAACCAGATTTTCCCTGAGCTGCTGTTCATTTTTATGTCTCCATATCTTCCTTCTCAAAATTACTGTGCTGGGAAGCTAGTTTGGGAAGCTGACAAGACCAGACCTCATAGGAGCATCGCCTAGACTCTTCTGTGGAATCCAGAAGAGTATAAGTCAGCAGATCTGTAAACTCTGATAAGAAGCATTTTTACCTGTGATGGAAAGAAGCCTTAACAATCCAGTAAATACAAAAAATGCTGCTGCTGCTGCTTCAGAGCTAGCACTCAAAAGTGAGAACTCCACTGTGGGCAGAAGTTGGAGGCACAGGGTAACCTTTACAGCCAGCCTAAAGAAGGACTTGCTGATTGCAAGGTGAGTCCTAGAGAAAGACTTATTTTTTTACCCTAAATTTATGCTAAGCCATTGCAAGAAATAAAATGTGGAAAGTCACCCAGCTTTAATTTAAATTTTACTTATAAAGAAACAAATGCCTTTAAAAGGGCGTAACTGCATGAGGTGATTTGACCTGCCTGATATGTTGGGGTGGATGTATGATCACTGCAATGGACAGACAAAGCAAGGAAAAGCCACCTACCCAGAGAAGAAGGTTGTAGATGAAAAGTTCATGTCTACCATCCCTTTGTTATGATCCTGGGCAGTGACAACAATAAAAAATGGAGTCTAGTGGCCATAAAATAGAAGGAAAGTGGAATCTTTTAATCCGGGGACTCCTTGGAAAAACTCTGAGCAAGGGACATCTCAGATATATTTGATAATCCCAAATATTTCTACTACAGAGGAAGTTGAAATGTCAAAATGCCTTCAAGGTAAGGTAAATGTGTGGACTTGAAGGGTATAGGGCAACAGTCTGTGCAACAGACTGGCAAATAGGAAGAACAGATGCTTCACAGAATAATTCACATTCACTTTTTAAAAAACACCGACTGTGCCAAAGAAAACACAAAGGTTGGCAACATTTCCTTGTCACCAGTTCACAAATACTGTTCTACATGGTGTTAAAACAAAACATCTTCAGTGGTTTAAAGGTTAGAGGAAACTGTTTTAATCTAAAAAGATCCATCAAAGTCAGGTCATTATAAAGGAGATGCCAATTGACAGAAAAATTAAAATTCCTGGTATCTTTTCATAACATATTGATAAAGGGGACATTTGAACTCTTATATGATGTGATGTCGATCTACCCCTTGGAAAAAATAGGAGATATCCTTTACAATCATGTAACAATCATGTTGCTTGAAACTGTGTTACTGGCACTCAGTCATCATTTGTTGAATGAATTAATGTGATATAAGCAGAGCAAAACACTAACTGAAGATAGCCTCAACCTCTCTTTTGAAGTTATAAAACTTAGGGATGGATCTCCAATTCTAAGGTTCCTCTTACCTTCAGGATTTATTTTTAACCACAAATATCTTTGCAGGAGGCCAAAGACTTCAGTGTTATGACCTTCCACATCCCATTTCTCTACCAGGATACAAAGAACATGGGCAGCCTCCCAAGAACAGTTATTACAGAGTTCACTCCCCAGGTGGTATCCACACGGACTTAGTCCTTTGGGAGTGAGGCAGGGGAATTTTGCACTCACAATGATGACTCTTTAACTCCCTGACTTCACAATTCTTGAATACAGAGAGGGAGTATCAACTCACAGAATAATGAAGAATAGATACAAGTATGTATGTACAAGGATTCGTGTAGTGCCTGGCACATAGTAAGTACTCATCAGACTATGGATATTATTTACTATGGAAATAGCAGCTGAATGAACTTTTTAAAAGATTTATTTATTTATGCATACAGAGCTGGGGTACAAGCCAGAGGTGCAAGGGCGGTGAGAGGCTTCACCAGAGACAGAGAGGGGAGCAGAACAGGCAGATCTACATAGTATACTGCTGAGGGGAGCAGCGGGTGGGTCAGGAGAGGTCTGTCACACCATATGGGTCACCTCCAGGGCTGGGGATTGAACTCGCACTGAAGCAGCCACTGCCAGCTTCACAGTGCTGCATCCTTACCCGTTGCGCCACCAGGGAGGGCCCCTGAATGAATTTTTTAATGAACCTAATTGGGGTAGGAGTGAGGAAGGTAGGATAACATATTCACAGATTGAGGAAAAACAAAGCTATTTCAACAGCTGTCTATAAACTGTTTTTGGAAAGGTGAAAGTGGGTAAGTATTAACATAAATAAAACTCCCTACATTTAAATGAAAGTCCTTATCTATATATGTATACACTTACATATTCATAAAGTTCCTCTGGAAGAACAGCTAACAGGAAATACATATTATGTTTATATTATCTACTAAAAAACTCACAAGTCATTTTTAAATTAAATGCTGCTAGTTTAAAATATCTCCTCAGTTTTGCATTATTTGGAGGAACTGAAATTGAAAATACATGTTTTATGCTTTTACTGTCAGACCCTTGATACTGCCCTCTAGTGTCTGGTACCCACACTGCCACTGCTTCCTGCAGCCACAGCTTGGCAGTTCCAGACCTGTTCTTAATTAAGTATTAGCACACTGTATCTTGCTAATACCAGGTTAATACTATAAGTAGTTAAAGCGTTAAGGAACTAAACTGCTATCTAGTCAGTTACTGAAATGCTTTAATAGTAGAAAATTCAGGGACTGTGAAGGATGGCATTATCTCATACCTACCTCATTCTTGTGGTAGATGAAATATTAGATTACTTGATTTATAACACATCATCTCTTCATTTTAAAATTGGCAGTTGTAAAAAAGGACCTTTCAGTTGTATCTCAAGTGCACAACATGTTAGCAACTAAATTTGTATTAATTCACTTGCTGCAGTAATTTCCTTCTGCGTATGTTGAAATAAAGGTTGTTTCACATACAAAATTTCCTAGTATGTTTTTATTTGAAAGAAAAGACTCTGAAGTCTGTCTCAACTTTTTCATTTTCATTGTTCTCTAGGTTATTTACTATGTGTTGTAATTTTTAAATTAATATTTTATTGGTTTTAAGAATGTTTTCATCAAAATATTTCAGAAAAATACAGTAAAACAGTGAAAAAATAAAAACAAGCTATAATCAACATATAACTATTGTTAACATTTCTAATCATTTCCTTCCAATTTTACTAATGCTTCTATGTTTTTATACATAGTTTTTGTGCTGAATTTGAAGTCTTTTAAGTATATCTCTAGTGTCATACATAAATGTTGTCTATCCTTGTTAAATATTGCAATATCCTTACTTGAAATGGCTGTATTTCAAACTGAAAAGTATGGTTGGAGATAGGGTGAGAAGGTCCTTTTTAAAAAAAAAAAAATTATTTATGCATAGAAGAACTGGGGTGTAGGCCAGAGGTGCTGGGGATGAGAGGGTTCAGTCCTTTTGAACACACCCATTAATTCAAGCTAAGTATGGGACCTTCTGTAACTGATATTTGTGTTCCATGACACAATCACAGGATGTAAATACACAGGTTATCACACTTTAGGCTGCCGTTCTAGGCCATTGCCTCCACAGGCGATAATATTACCCTTGGCCCTTTACAAATATTTGCTATTGAATGGAATTACTAGGGCCTCCTCCAGTAAATTAAGCAATGGTGCATGATCCCAGACAAGGGAGAGGTAAATCTGGGTCGAAGGACCTGCGAGGTGCAAAGAGGGACCTTGTTTTACTTCTGGATGTTTTCACCCATTTGGACGAACACTCTTGGTCATCACCTCCGAATGGCAGGTTCCCAACGATCCGCAGGCCCATTCAATAAAATGTTTGTGGGCGTGCTCCCGCCGGAGGACCGCGTTGGACAGCGCCGAGGTTTGGGAAACCCACCCCGCGCCCAGGAGCAAATATAAAAAGTCGGGCCTCAGGCTCCCAGCAGCTCACCGCTTCACAGGGGGAAACGCTCGCCTCATCTCTGTCCGCGTCAGTGCCAGTACCTGTGTATACACCACGAAGATGGCACCCCCTGGGGGCAAAAAGGCCAAGAAGGTGAGTTTTCATCATAAGTCGTAAGTCGATACCCACTGTTCTCGCACCCCAGCCTTCAGGGAGTGCTGAGGGTCCCCGTAGCCAGGCTGCGACCTGAAGGTGCCCCTACACTATTGCAGGACCCAAAGGCACCCCTGCGCCTCCCCCAACTCACGCCCTTGTCCAGAGGACGCCCTAGATCTATGTGACCTCTGACTCAATTCCCAACATTTTCTTAGTCTCGCATCCCCAAGACCAGCGCACTCTTTCCAAAGATGCCGCTCCATCTTCCCTCCCCCATGGCGGCATGTTGGAATGCTTCATTGGTGCACCCCAGCCACTGCGCACACCCAGATCCCAGTGCTATCTGGGGAGCCGAGGTCGCACCGCGCAAGATGCGACAGTTTCCCTCCGGCGCCCGGAGGAGCGCCACGGGGTCTGGGGCAGCCTCTGCAGAACTGTCGCTGCCACACCGCGGTAGCCACGCGGCCCAAGCCGTGGGTGGACGATGACAAGTCTCCAACCTCCGTTTGGTTTTAGCTATCACAGAAAACGTACCAGGCGGGCATCAAAAAGAAAATGTTAGAAAAATGGGCATAATTGCTGTAAGATATTAAGGACTGTTTAAAAAGCAAAATCTCAGCAGCTCCAGCACCCGATTAACAACAAGCCCTTCTCTTCCTTTTTGGGACCAGAGTTTCAATCCAGACTTTCAGTTTGGGGATAGTTTAAGGGATGGATGGATGGACTGAAAGTGGAGGCACACATTCACTGAAGGTCTGACTGGGACTCTGGTGGTCGGATGGGAAGAGAAGTACTGAAGGAGGGGGTAGTATATTTGACTCTTGTCAAAGCGCCCACCCCAGGTCTGATGGACTGAGGCGTGCATGCCTGAAGAAGTAGCAGGGGAAGTCAGGTCATGGTATCCCCTGGGATTAAGGACTGTGAGGGCTGCTGTTGTCTGCTCCCCAGTGCCAGCTCTAGCTTTAGAAATGATCTTCCCAAGTTTCTAAAGGCATGACCCCCAAATTAAAATTGCCTCCATACAAGAAAGAAAAGTTAATTCAGTTCCCTTTGTAATGCCATACACTAATAGATGCCTGTCCATGCCATGAGCTGATGATGTGTTGGATTCCAGTTAGGTTGAGAATTTTTGCCAATCCATAAATTTAGTCAATGAATAGTCTATGTAGACTGGAAGAGATAATTTATATAGAGATTTAATTTTGGGTGGGGGGAGGAGTTGACCTTATTTGCATACTCATGGTTCCAAGCCACACTTTATACTGGAACTCAGAAAATGAAACATTTTTGTGGATGGTGATAAAAAAAAAGGGGGGGGGGGAAATGTTTTTAAAAGAAAATGAAACATTTAAAAGGATTATCTTAGCAACAGAGGGACATAAGGTGGGGAATTTTTTTATTCCTCAGAAACATTACTACAAAAAGGTCAGTGTAAAGGGGAATAAATAAAACATGAAAAATAATATATCTATACTTTGAGTTTAAAATTAAAATATATTTTACAAAGCTAACACATGCTTATTGTAGACAAACAGGGAAGCACTGAGAACATGTGTACTGCATTTGGTATATATACTACTAGTTTCTTGTCTTAACAAATGTGTACTTTTAAAACAAATGTGGTCTCCTACTACACATGTTGCTTTGTCATATTTTTTACAAAATAATTTGGTAAGAATTTTTATCTAGGCTAAAAAGTTTTTCAGATTGGGAACAAAACTGGCTAAAGTTTGAGTGATTTTTTTAAAATGCAGTAGAATCTAAGAATATTTCTCCATATATAACTTTTCAACATGTAATGAACAACTGCATGACAACAGCAACACCATCACTGAATAGCTAACTCTACCACTACAGAACAGCCAACTCTAAGCATCAAAATATGTTAATACTTATTTGAAAACATGCACAAGCGCTCAACAAGTTTGTTCAGTTGACTGAATAAAATGTCATGAATTAGTTCATATAAATGAAAGTTAGTAGAAAGTCGTATTTCATTTGACACATACATAGTTCTGATATAACTATGCACTGAGTAGTATGTCTATTTTTTAATTAAACGGTAGACTGAAGATGTGGCTTTTACACATTGTAATAATAACAGAGTACTTTGATTTCAAAAATATTTTTAGCTGTTTTAGAGTTGTTATGTTATGATCTTCAAGCCTTGAAAATCTTTCTGGAAGAGATACTCAAGAACACATAGCATAATACTATTTTGCTACTGTAAGTGAAAATATCACTTGTTTTCTCCTCATTGGCACCAGCTGACCAAAGACATGGAGAGGGTCAGAGAAGGGAAAAGGATTAAAATGAGGACGGCTCGACAGGTGTCGAGGACTTAGGATGCAAAGCCCTGTGGGTTCCTCTCACAGATTTATGTAATCTTTGCAATTATATCAGCATCTGTTTTGTCAATCTTTCATCACAATAAACAGAACACAATAAGTAAGCACATTCCAAGAAACTAGAGTCTTTCAGGTCTTTCTACCTCTCTACCACCACTTAAAATCACATCTATAAACCACTTACTTATGGTATCGATTCAGGAGGCCCTATACTCCCTACCTGAGCACTTGTGTAAATTACTTTTGATTCTGGATCTTAATTCTACAACTGTAAAATCAGAATGACCCAAGTTAGACTAGGGTACCTTATTTTTAAATTCTGAGATTCTTTGACATTAAAAAAAAATGGTTACACATTCTAATTCACAAAACTCTCTAAAAATATTAAATTCAAAATGTATCTTTTGAACATTAGCACCAGGATAGTTATTGCACTATCCTGTAAATAGAGCAGGTACTATACTGTACTGTAAATAGAACAGGTATGGAAACTAAGCAAGAAGTCAGTTTTCAAGCATTTATTCACATACATTACATTTATATGCACTTTCATGTTTAGACATGCCATCCTCCTGCAATAGGCTTCAAGGAATCTTTAATGTGCCCTGCTCCTGGCAATTTTACACACAAATCTCCATTACATGAGCATTCTGGTTGTTTGCTCACAGTAACAGATTTATGTTTAAAATGCACCCACATCCCATTCTTTAGAAGGAGAATTCTAAAGAAACCATACTTCTCAGCAATATGATAGCAAAAGTACTAAAAGTGAATTGCCTTGAAAGCACAAGTAACTCCTTTTCTCCCCTTCTGCCCTATCTGTCATTTTAGGGCATCCTAGAACGTTTAAACTCTGGAGAGGTTGTGATTGGAGACGGAGGGTTTGTCTTTGCCCTGGAGAAGAGGGGCTATGTGAAAGCAGGTCCATGGACCCCAGAAGCTGCTGTGGAACACCCAGAAGCAGGTTGGTGCACAGTTCTGTTCTAGGTTCTCATAAAACAGCACTATGTCAACCCAAGTCTGGGAGCATCATATCAAACATGGACTTTCATGCCACATTTTCCTAATATTTATTATTGCCTACTAGGCACTGTATTAGTGCATAAGTATAGATTCAATGTTTGATCAGCACAATGGCTCTCCTGGTTGCTGTCACCTATTTCTACTTCTTGGTCCTGCCCCTCTAGAGGAGTTTAGAACCTGGCTCATTGTCTTCCTCTCTGTTCTCCCTCACCTCTATTCATTCACCATCTAGCTGATCTAGTCTGTTCTCTTCCTGTCAATGCCTGATCTCCTCCTCACCTCCAGTGAGCTTTTTCCTCCACCCTCACCTCAGCAACCCCCTTTTACCTTACTATCACCAATAACAGTCCACACCTGAAATCTCAAACACAGGTATCCCACTCCTGACCACCACCTCCTGCCTTCTGCTCACTTTTTCTAGTACTCCCCCACCTCAATTCAACAAGACTCTCAGTCTTGGGCTCTATGGAGCGTTTCACCTGTGGGGACCCAGGCGTCACCGGCATGTAGCTGCTCATGCAGCAGGAGCTGGTCCCAAGGCATCATCCCAGGAGGAGGAAGACCCATTGATGGCATCATGGGAAGGCCCCTTATGTGGGAGCCTGACATCATGTTAAGGCCAGAAGGGTCCAGGAGAATGGGTAGAGATGGGATCTTCAGCAGGAGGAGCAGGGAATGGGGTAGAAGAAACCCCCTGTTGAAATGCAGCAGTGGCTTTGTTAGTCAGGCTCTGAGCCTGCTCCACCATCCATTTCTGAGAGTAATCTTTCACATTCTCTTTCCATTTCCTGTCACTTCAGTCTGTCTTTCTCACAGCTGGAGAGTAATGGTGATGTGTCTATGCCTAAGCAGTCACGATAACATCTGGCTATTGGCTCTGCAGGCCATTCTTTTGAAGCAGTTTGAACAGAGGCCTCTGCTAACCCCTCAGGGTGGTCTGGAGTTGTACAGGTTTTTCAGAGCTGTCCCAAACTGAGTCAACAGGACTGGACCTTTGTGTTCTCTCCCTACCAATAGACCATGCACCTCAAACAAGTTATCAGCCCTCCCAGCCCCCAGAAAGGAAAGCTCCCTTTGGCCTAGAGAGCATGTTACTGGCAGCCATAAGCAGCCAACACTTTGAAGGAAGTTGAGTCTTTCAAGGTGTGAATATTATACAAGATGAGGTTTTTCATGTTAATTAAAGAAGAGTATATTTTAATGAGTTCAGTGATAAAGGCTGAACACTAAGCATGTAAATTGAATTTTGAAATTAAGTATAGACTCGGAGAGCTAGAGTAAGAAACCCTGACACAGTCATTAAGCTGCATGGTACTGAGGAAATTACTTAGCTTCTCAGGGATTCTGTTTCCTCTTCTATAAAACTAAGATAATATTGACATCTACCTCCAAAAGTTACTATGAAGATTAAATAAATTACAGTGTTTAAAATAGTGTCTGATTAAATTAGTATATGGTGCAGGTTAAACACATTTAACTATTGTTATTGTTAACTTATCTGAGTTTATTCTCTTGACAGTATTCTTGATTTATTTAGCCTATGGTTAAATAAGCATGCTCACATAATCTCGAAATAGTATTCAAAGTAAAAGAGCCTTCACCCTGTGAAACCCAGCAAATGTATACAATTTTTATATTTACAAATAAGAGTAGAAATAATACTGTATTCCACCCTTTAAAAAAAATGAACCAGTAGGTTTGGGAAATCAAAACAACAGTAGTTCTCAAATTTTACTTTACCAACTGAGTTCATTAAACTTAGATCCCATTTAGAGATCTGGGTCCTTAACTCTCAAAGGGGGCTAGAAACCTGCATTGTTTATAATTGTACCCAAGTGACTGTAAGGTAAATTACACTGTGAGAAGCATTAAAGGGCTTTAAGGAACACAACAAAATAATCACTGTTTCATTAACTGACTGGTGATTTTAAATATTTCTATGGTTTGTTTCTTAAAGTTCACTTGCTGGATAAAACTCAGAATAAAATGTTTCTTGGGACAGACTGATTTTAACAATAAGCTATCTTTGCTCAATCTCTGCTATATAAACCAAGTAAGACTGTTATTTAAAACATAAGTTTCAATTTTATAAGTCATCATTTTTAAAAAGTTAAACATTAGGAGTTCAAAAGAAAATATTGATTTTCTTAATGCAGAAACAGTATGTTTCTTCTCTTCACCATCTGTGTCTTGGTTATTTTTAACTCATTTAGGTGTGTTAAGCAATAGCTCTACTTTTCTTATGGATATTCCGTGTTTTTCAAGAATTAATGAAAACTCCATGAATCTGAGTCATTAGATTTAATCCTTGCTTTTATGGACTGAAATCCCATATATTCCACCCTACCAGTATCTGGTTTAAATTCTGTCAACCACACTGGACTACAGGGATGCATCAGAAAAGACAAATCTGTAATGCAGCTGCACAAAAACATCTTTATGGGGTAGTGGATGTTTTACCCTTTGGGTGCAGTGAAATATGTTTAAAACATTCCTGCGCCAAATGAGAGGAATGGTCAGCCTTCATGTTATTTTATACAAATGAATTTGTATCTACAAGTGCCTTTGTAAGTTAGACTGAATGATAGCTGGAATTAATCTGAACCCTGAAAAGTTTCCCAGCAAGCTGGCCTGCACCCAAAATGTTTTTGTAGGACTGGAATATTGACTTTTTGATGCTGGGAGCAGTAAGAAAAGGAATGTTTCACTCTAGCTTCACAATCCTTATCCCAAGCCATTTTGAGTCAAATGTATCCTGGAATCCAGTATTTGGGGGATTTATAAAAAATTAATAGTGCCTGTGTTACATAATATGTAACCCCATAAAGGTCTGAAGCAGTCTCCCTCCATCATAATCAAGTGCATTCATACTTTTTTTTTGTATCATATCAAAGAATATGACTACCTAGATTAAATGGGATACAATTAATTACAAACAGCCTCACAGTTGCTCAGATCATATTTTTTCCCCAGATAATTCTATGATAAATTTATTATTGCACTGAAGAAATATTGAAAAGTTTTATTTGAACTTTTAGAGTTTTCTGTGGAATTCCTAATACTAGCATTTTTTAGGTAAATTTACAAGAGTAATTATTTAACTATACTCTTGACATATATAACTGGAACACACACACACACACACATCTTGGTTATATTTAGCTATTTAGCTTTATGGTGATAAATAAAACAAGTATAATAAAGAATTTAAAGCCATAAATGAATCTAATTAATTAGTATAGGTTGTGTCACTGTGTAGAGATGAGTCACATCCTATTAGTGATCAGAGGATAAAGACTCTAGGATTCTTATGAGAGAAAACATAAAATAGAAATGTGACACATATCCAGAAATTACCATATTGTAATTCTCCTCCTAAAGTTAATACCAAAAGTTGTGATTTTTTCACATAGTAGAATAAGGTTTGCTGGACCTGCCTGGAGAGAGTTGGGGAATCTGAAGTTGTGGTAACTACATCCTGGTGAGTCTAAGTTGGGTCATACTTTGAGAAACACTACAGTTTTAAGAAGCATAATAATCAAAATGATTACTTACTTGCAAGGAGATATTTTCACCGTTTTGGACCACTGCCTTCTGAGTTTCTAATGGACACTCAGGGTTTAGGACTGCTACTTTAGAGCAAATGATCTTTAAGTTGAATACATGTGGCTATATGGGGAGGGGGGAGTGGGAATCCCGCCATATTTGGTCCAGCCAGTGAAGGTTTATTTAGTCACTTGGCATTCATTCTTGGACCAATGTTTAGGACCTTGCTCACATTCTTCTACTCTGTTTCTAGAATTATCCTTCAAACACACAGCAATCACATCACTCCACTGCTTACAAACTGTTGCTGTTTCCTTTATACCTGTGACCTGAAGCCCAGATGACATGCTTGGGATGACATGCTAGTCATTTTGTATTTTCTCTGCTCACCATTGTGACTTCACCTTCAACTACGTATCTTCAACATACCCAATTCCAATCCCCCAGACTACTTGCCATTGCCCCTGCCACACCTGTTTTTTTTCGCCTTAGCTCTCTGCTCAGGTGGCCACTGGGAGGAAATCCCATCCCCATCTTCTCTGTTTAGCAAAAATGCTGAGAGAATTCCTTTTCTGTGAGATTTTCTTTCCTTTGCCTCATAGCCATGGTAAAAATAAACTCTATCTGGCAAAAAACCCCAAACCCACTTCTCATTAGTTTTCAAGATGCACAAATGACAAACAACATTTTTTATTTTAAGGAGATGTTTTCATATTTCCTCACTTTAGAGCCTTTTGAAAATACTGGTCAGTAAACCAATAGAAATTAATACCTTTACTCATTCAATCCTCCAGTTCGTCAGCTTCATCGAGAGTTCCTCAGAGCTGGATCGAATGTTATACAGACCTTCACCTTTTATGCCAGTGAAGACAAGCTGGAAAACAGAGGAAACTATGTTGCAGAGAAGATATCAGTGAGTAAAAGCATACATGAAACTTTTATGAGGGGCATAATAGATATATTTATCAAAGTTCTCATAGAGAAAAATGTTGAGCTTCTTCAGCGTTTGGTTTTATCTTAAATAATACAGAAATGATACATCTGTGAATAAACTCAGGTTTTAGCTGGGGCTTCTGAATTAACAGAAAGAGATTTTATGAAATAGATCAAATTAGAATTTAATTATTCTTCCAGTCTCTTGACTAAGTTTACTGACTGGATATCTTTACAAATTCTTATTACCTTATAGTTGATTAAAAAGCTTTAATTGACTGAATTTGATTTAGTTATTCAACAATCTACAGGTACAATTCTTACATCAGCATCTGTATTTATCATACCACACCACCTCCAGATTTCCCATCACTATCCACCACAACCAGTCAGTCCCTTCTGACTATTCCTGCCCCCACTGTCTTCCCCTCTGGCAAGCACCAATTTGTTCTCAGAGTCAAAGTGTTTTTTGCCTTGTTTGTTCATCTTTTTCCCTTTACAGTTCACAAAAATCATTTAGTATTTATCTTTCTCCTTTTCGATGATTTCACTTGGGCATAATCCCATAAGGTCCATCTGTGTTGGTGCAAATAGAAAAAAATCATCTTTTAATGGCTGAGTAATATTCCATTCTGTCTATATAATAAATGTTTTCTATTCATTCATCAGTCATCATCAAGTACTTGAGTTGTTTCCATATTTGGGCTATTGTGAGTAAGTGCACTGAACATAGGCATTCTCGATCTTTTCAAATTAGTGTTTTCCGATTCTTTAGGTAAGTAAATACTCAGAGGTTGAGTTGGTGGATCATCTGATAAAACTACTTTTAATTTTTTGAGGAGTCTCCATACAGTTTTCCAGAGTGACCGTACAAATTTACATTCCCAGCAACAATGCATAAAATTTTCTTTTTCTTTACATCCTTCCCAATAATTTAGTTTAAAAATATGACATAAAGTATGAGCAGAGTATAGGTTCAAGGAATTAGTGAACCTGGAATCTTCCCCTACTTACTACAAGAAACTATGTGATATTCATTTAATTACCTCATCAATTTGGCAACTTCTTCATCACTAAATTGAAAAGGGAGTTCTAAATTTCTACAAGTTTATGTGAGTGACAGCATTGGTTTTATTATTTTTTAATTGGGACATTTCCATTTTAATGCCTAATTAAACAATACCTTACTTGTTATATTATCTGTTAACTGATAAAATACATAATCATAAAAAACAAAAATTTAATCACTGCAGTTGACTTTTATTCTAATTAATCATTAAAAACAAATAATTGTCATTGTCACTGTTTGCTAGATATTCTTCCAAGTGCAGCTCAGAAATTGGCATGTCCCAGATCCTTTTATGGGAGACACTTACCCTCTCACAGAGCTTTGGTTTAATGTAATATCTTAGGTAGCACACCTTCTAATTTATTTCTTTCATCACTACTATTAGTATTATTGCAAATTGCTGACCTTGGTAAACACTGAACTATTTCATCACTGTTATTTTTTAGAATAAAATCACTGCTGGAATCACACAATGAAGATATGGGCATTTGTGTTATAAGTTTTGTTTTACTTTCACATGAAAATGTAAGTATTTCTATATTCACCCATTTTAGGGGCAGAAAGTCAATGAAGCTGCTTGTGACATTGCCCGACAAGTGGCTGATGAGGGCGATGCTTTGGTGGCAGGAGGAGTGAGTCAGACACCTTCATACCTTAGCTGCAAGAGTGAAACTGAAGTTAAAAAAGTATTTCAGCAACAATTAGAGGTCTTTATCAAGAAGAACGTCGACTTCTTGATTGCAGAGGTAAAAATGTGACAAAAGAAAAAATTACACTATACACTTTCTCTGCTTTGAAATTCATGAAAAACACCATGTAAGTCTAGTTGCTTACTTTGACTAGTTAGAGTAATGTTTAGTTTGGAACTTTCTTACAAGTTAGAGCTTTTATTAAAATTAAGTTAATCTAGTTCAGTGGTTCTTCAAACCTTCTAGCTGCAAGTCAGTTAGGAATCACCATTCTATTCTGCTTAAAAAATGTTGGGTATCACAACTCAAAATTTGAAAAATGCTTACCTGCTGATAATTAAATCATGAAGACTAGGATAAGTTTTCAAATTACTTGGACAGAAACAAACTTAAAAGCATATCACCCTTATTTCAGTATTTTGAACATGTTGAGGAAGCTGTGTGGGCAGTGGAAGCCTTGAAGGCATCTGGGAAGCCAGTGGCAGCGACCATGTGCATCGGCCCAGAGGGAGATCTGCACGGCGTGCCCCCGGGCGAGTGTGCGGTTCGCCTGGTGAAAGCAGGTGATGATGGATTTTTATCAGCTTGCAATCAGACAGGCTTTTAAAATAACACACAAGTGCATGTCCATCCAGAAATCAGTATACTACTTTTGTTAAAAAAGATAAAACGATTCATTTATCCTTTTAGGATTATTGATACTATTATTGAGTCCCAAAGTGAAAAAAAAAAAGTTTAAAACATACACATACCAGCCATTTAAAAGGGTGAAGCAGACTTACGCTGGGTTTGACACCTTAAAATGAGAAGAATTCTGGTAAGTCTAAAAGAGCATTAGGAAGAAATGTGTTTGTTTTCGATTTATGTCAAGAAGTCTTTAAATTTAATAGTTCTGAAGTTAGTTGCCCTCTTTGCCAAAGTTTTTCCAGTCTCATAAATTAATGGTATGGATAGCCTTTTGTAATTGGTATTATAAATCAAGGAACTCTTTGATAGGAAAAACAGCCTACCTAATTTATCTTTTTACATAGTTTTCATTCTTGATATTGGGTTTCATTTCAATTAGGGGAAACTCGCAAACTGTTTTCAAAGCTGCCTCGTTTGATTCCAAGGAATAGTTCAGTGTCAGAGAGTCTGACTTACTCTGTGGAACAGAGATTTTAATTAGTTATTTGCTAAATTTCTGATTTTTATTCAATTCCTAATATGCCAGGAAAGTCCCTTCATATTTGTCATTAGTAAGAACAATTGTTTAGATTTAGGAGCTAAGTTGTAAAATTCTAATTTGGAGTGAAAAATATAACAATGGGAGAAGAAGCAAGTTAAGTTGTTTTAAAAATATCGAAGGACACCTTCATCATCCCCATGTTAATTGGCAGGGATTCTTGGCCTGCGTCTAAACTATTGTTTGTCATTCTGTTCGGAGTAGGTGGTCATAGTGTTTGATGTCACTGCACTCTGTTTATATCCTTCATGTAATTTCCCATTTATCTCATTTGTTTATCATTTTAATGTCTGACTAACTAGTTTATAAAGTCCTTTAGAGCACAGACTATGTCTGTTGGCTTAACAGTAGGAACCCTGTGGTTAGCACAGCACCTAGCAATTATAGGTCCATAATCAATAGCTGAATAATAAATCTAGTACATCTTCCAATGTTAGTTCAAATTCTACCTCCATCTACCCTTACATAATCATTAATATCCCAAGTGAGCACTCCTTCTCAGAAACTATGACATTTTCTATTTATGCTATATATTTAGAATATCCTTAGAAGGCACTTTCCAATCTGTGAAGCTGGCAACAGGATTCTGTAGTCAAACACATTTAGAAAATACTGTGCTAAGACAAGTCAAGCCAATCTCTCTGCCACAGAACTTTTCAGAACCTGATATATTCATATATATTAACAATTGCAAAGAAGGAGATATAGTGAGTAGATACTGCCTAATTTAATTGACCACAGTGCCTTATTTTCATGAAGTAAACCCTGGGGAGTCCTGTGCTAAATTGGTGTCCAGGACTATGTCCTATATTTATATTTCTCTATAATCTCTTCTAGGGATTTTTATACCTAATAAATTTCCAAAAACCAGAGAACTATGATTAATTCATCAGTGTAATGATACCAAGCAAGGAAGGAAAAACTTTGGCAGCAGAGCATGCAAAAAATAAGGTCAGGCGGAGAAGGAAAGGAGAGAAAGAAGAGGTATTCAAGATCCAGATGAAGATGTTAAGTAAGCTGTTGAATATACAAGTCTGAAGCTCAAATGAAAGATCAGAGTTAAAGAAGTTTGGTAGAGTTCTAGATACAGATGGTACTGAAAGTTCGGAGACTGAAAAGGAAGTGCAAATGAAACAGGCAAGATGACTTAGAGGGATTCTGGGACACAGGATTAAGGGGGTCAGCCTTGGTGAGAGATCAGCATGCAACACACACACATACACAAAAACAAACAACAAAAAAAGTAAAACAACCCCAGGAGAAAGAAGCACCACTCACAATTATAGAAGTTCTCAGATGCCAAGAAGTGGGTGTTGATGGAGAGAATGAGTACAGGGATAAATGCTGCTGAGATGTTGAGTAAGATGAAAACAGAGAAACAACTTCTGGATTTGTCAAGATTGAGATCATTGGTCTCATTAACAAAAGTTGATTTAGAGGAATGATGGGAAATGAGGCCTGACTGGCACATGCATGAAGAGCAAACTGCAATCCCAACCCACTGAGGACTACAGATGTCATGGCTTGTAACATGAGCTCTGTGGACCTAGAATCTGGATTTTGATGTCACTCTCATTGTAGCCAGAAAGAATCGCTCTTGTCCTATTTTTGGTATCTTTATATCCAACTACAAAATTTTAGGACATGAGTCCATAAAAAAAAAAGTTATTTGAAGGTAGAAACAATCCAAGTGCAAATGATGAATGAATAGACAAATGTGGTATGTCCACATAATGGACTATTATTCAGCCATAAACGGGAATGAAGTTCTGATACATGCTCTAACAAGGGTGAACCTTGAAAACATGATACTAAGTGAAATAGGTCAGTCACAAAAGAACAAATCTTGTATGATTTCACTTATCTAGAATAAGCAAATCAACAGAGACAGAAACATATTATTAGGAGCTAGAGAAAAGGGAATAGGAAATTAGTGCTTAAGAGGCACCAGAGTTTCTCTCTAGAGTGACAAAAGTTCTGGAAATAGACTTTGATGGTTGTAAAAAACTGAATTAAACTGCACACAAATGTCAAATACATACATATAAATGTGTTATATATGTGTATATGCACACACACACACACGTATGTATGTTATGTATATATAACCACAATTAAAAATAAAAAGAAAGGTTCTATTTGGGAATTCCTTCTATCTTAAGAGGGTGGACTGTAATAATTCTAAAGTCATACTGTATCCTTAAATCTTCTGGAAAAAGAAATCTCCAAAATTAGTACAATGATTGCAATAATCATCATGTTTGGTAGAGATATGACAACATAAAAAAATGAAGAAAGTTTGTTTTTGCAAAATTTGTTCTTTGATTTTATAAGGACAAACAACAGATTTTACAGGGAAAAAATCTCCACGACAATCCCATATAGTTGTGAGTCTGGAGAAGCTAAAATGTAAATGAGAAGCTTGTCAAAATGAGTAATAGACTGTTAGCCACTTCTATTAGTTAAAGTCAAAGAACTTTTGAGATTTTTTTTTTCCTAATTACAAACTCCAAACACAAAATTCCTCCAGAAAACATGTTACAGAAAAACTTTCCTAAATTACATTCTGCTGTTGTGCCCAAGGAAGTTAGTGATATTATTAAATTGACCTGATGAAAGGGAACATTGATTTATTTCTTCAATGAGTGGTATGGTAACCACAGGTGCAATCTAGCAGCTGGGAGTACTGAAAAATTAGTGTGCTTGCAATATAATGTCAAAGATTGAAAAATTGACTACTAAAACTTGAAGTTCAAAAAAATTCTAATAATGATTTTTTTAATAAAAAAGATGGACAGTCAAGTGTACATAAGTGACACTTCAATTATACCAGACTCTTCAAAGCACTTTTCATGCAAAGTACTTGCTGCCTGTTAGCAATCATTCTTGCTCGACGATAGATAGGTTTTCAGGCAGCAAGGACCAAATACTGTACTTCCAGTTCACTGTTATAAATAAAACCTCCCCGATTAAGAAAGAAGAGTTAAGTCTACTGGTATCTGGTGAACCCCTAAAGCTAAAATGTTCATCCTATTTGCAGGAGCTTCCATCATCGGTGTGAACTGCCACTTTGACCCCACAACTAGTTTGCAAACAGTGAAGCTCATGAAAGAAGGCTTAGAGGCTGCCAGGTTGAAAGCCCACCTGATGGCTCAGCCCTTGGCCTACCACACCCCTGACTGCAGCAAACAAGGATTTATTGATCTTCCAGAATTCCCCTTTGGTAAGAGATGTTTTATAAACTGTCTCAGTGTTTTCATGTTTGATAAATTTCAAATTATAGCCATAGCATTTTATCATAGTAAAGAAATGGCTACATATCTCTTTATTTCTTGCTCCAAACCCACTAATATTAGATAGCAGTAGAAGTAAATGGTAGAACCCCAAGCAAAATACTGAACTTAAATGTAAAGTCAAGGGTGAATCAAAATCCAGAAGGACCAATCCCCCCTACCCCCCAAAAAAAATGCTCTTGTGGGGAATCAGTGAAGATTTTTATTTTGGGCCCAGGTGACTTTGGTTTGCTGACTTGTGTGACCTTAGCAAAACACTTTAGTATCTCAAGATCTTAATTTTCTCTTCCCCAAATTAAGAATATTAGAACAAATTATCTCCAAGATTCTTTTTTTCTATTTTGAACATTGCTCAGATACTCCAGAGTTTGCTTGGGATTGGGTAAGACAGCATCACTGAGTTACTGTTGAGTATAACAAACTTGAAGAAGAGACCAAGTAGAGGAAGTGAGGGGATGCTTGCAGTCTAGGTGAAGGATCAAGCATGTTTGGGAAGTAACCGTGAGTCTACCTTGAAAATCATGCCTGAGAGGTCAGCAGGCATGACCTGTTGAAAGCATGCCAATCTCAACTTTTTATCATATCCTATATTCTATAGAAACTCTCAGAGAAGTAAGATATTTAAAAAGTAATCGCTCTAGGAGAAGCATGGAAAGAGGATGGCAAAGATTTTGTATAATTTATTATAGTAGAATAAATCACTATAAAACTTAGCAAATAATAAAAAATAAATAACAAACATTTAAATTTCACAGTTTCTGTGGTTCATGAATTTGTGTACTGCTTAGTGGCTAATTCTTGCTCTGGTGTCTTAAGAGGTTATAGCCCAAAGACTAGTTGGAGCGGAAGACCTGATGGAAGCTAACGGATTTCCTTCCATGCTCTCTTATTTGGCTATTGGGAATTTCACTTTCTTGCTGTCTATTTACTGGAGGCATCAGTTCCTGGGCTCATTGGTCTGATCACTGCGCTGCTTAAGTGTTCTCACATCATGTCAGCTGAACTCCCCCTAAATGAGTGGTCTGAGAGAGAACAAGGCAAAAACCATAATGTCTTTTATGACCTAGCCTCCAAAGTCACAATAGTCTATTCACAGACCATGATGAACATCACTGGACAGGGATCACTGGGAACCTTATTGAAACTAGTTTTCATGACATTTAAAACAAGATAAACACAAAGTAGCTGACAATTTATAAAAGTTGAAAATAGAATATTGGCAACTTAATTCATTTACTGAAATCACATATCTATTATAAATGCTTATCTTGATTATTTTTAAAAAGATTTATTTATTTATTCATACAGAACTGGGGTATACAGGCCAGAGATGCAGAGGGTGAGAGGATTCACCAGAGACAGAGTGGGGAGCAGAGCAGGCAGATCAACAAAGTACATTGCTGAGGGGAGCAGTGGGCGGGTCAGGAGAGGTCTACCGCGCCATGTGGTCACCTCCGGGGCAGGCGGGAATCAAACTCATGGGGAAGTGGCTTAAGCTTTTTAGTGCTGTGCTTTAACCCGCTGCGCCACCAGGGAGGGCCCTATCTTGATTATTTAAAAAAAATAATTCAAACAAAATGCCACTTATTTTATAGGACTGGAACCCAGAGTTGCAACCAGATGGGATATTCAAAAATATGCCAGAGAGGCCTACAACCTGGGGGTCAGGCTTATTGGCGGGTGCTGTGGATTTGAGCCCTACCACATCCGGGCTATTGCAGAGGAGTTGGCCCCTGAAAGGGGATTTTTGCCACCAGCCTCAGAAAAGCATGGCAGCTGGGGAAGTGGATTGGATATGCATACCAAACCATGGATTAGAGCCAGGTAAGAACCTTTACAACAAATTTGTCAAACCAAACTCATTTAGACTATGAATATTTCAAATTCAAGTGAGGTCATTATAAAGAGTGCAGCTAATTTGCTGTGTGATAACAAAAAATCAGTTGTTCTTAAGCTGCTCACTGAGATGTTTATAAAACAGCCTTACAAAATGATTTATAAAGAATGCTTTAAGAATATAAGCTATAAATGGTGGAAGTCATAATGAAATGTAGATTTCTTGCTCTAGGAAAGCACCATTCATGTGGTGGACATTAACATTGAATGAACTGGTTAAGAGTTAAGTATAACAAATATTAATTCTATGACTGTTCAATGACTCAAGCATGATTCTTGAGACTGGGAATAATGTGTTAAGATAGAAAAGGTCTTTGCCCTTAGAGCTTAACATTGTTCTGGAGGAGATGAACAACAAACAGATTTTTTTTTTTTTTTTGGTTAGACAATGTGCAGAGCTCTGGGAATAAACAAAGGAAATCTGTGATGCCTTGTTTAGAGGATCTCACAGTCTACAGTGCAAAAAGAATATTCTGGTAACTGCTTTGGTAGAGGCATGGATTTAAAAACAAGTTAATAATGAATAACTGCCTCTACTTAACTGGTATTTTAGAAGAAAGGGAACTTTTACTGGATCTTGAATAACTAAGTAGGCGTCCACAAGACAGGAAAGTGAGTGGAGGATGAGTACTCCAAACAGAAAGGTTTTTCTAACCTTAAGTACAACTATGTCAGGCATTTGTGGACACTGAGGTAGCAAGCTAGACAAACACAGCACTGTTCTCAAGGATTTGGCATTCTAATAGCCAGAGAGATAAATAAGAAAGTTCAAGTTAGTCTAGTAAGTTCATGGATAAAGATATGCATAGGTGTTGTAGGGTCTGAGATAATGGTTCATGGTGCAAGACAGAGTTAGTGAAGGAATTTCGAAGTGAGTGATGAAGTACATTGCCAGACAAGGGAATAGGCTATAGAAAAGCACAAAAAGGAGGAAAAAGTATTAAGAAACTGGAAGTTTGGGAATAATAAAGACAGACTTTGATAAAAGACACCCATCAGAAATATAAGGATGCCTAATTTGCTAATGAGCTATCTGTGATGTCCTCCCAAAGGCCTTCATTCTTTTTTTTGGATTTTCTAAAAAGATTTATTTATTTATTTATGCATACAAAATTGGGGTGCTGGCCAGAGGTGTAGGGGCAGTGAGAGGATTCACCAAAGACAAAGCAGGGAGGAGAACAGGCTGGCTGATGAAATACACGATTGAGGGGAGCAGCAGGCGGGTCAGGAGAGGTCTGCTGCGCCATGTGGATCACCTCCAGGGTTGGGGATGAAAGTCACACTGAAGCAGCTTGCTTGCAGTGCTGTGCTTTTAACCTATTGCGCCATCTGGGAGGGAGGGTCCTGCAGTTAGGATCCTACAGGTCTCAAGTGGTCCAGAACAAGTTCATATTTGCAAGTTAGCAAATTTTTATATAAGCCGTAAGACAGGGGCCCCTGTGAGAATCCTTTGCTAGAACAGATACCAGATATGATGAGGCCCTGAGCTAGGAGACAATAGAATTAGAAAGGAAAAAGTTGTAGGAGCCACAACAACACAGGGCTTGGGGAAAGGCAGCAAATGTGGCCTCAGCAAAAGTGGTTCATGCGGGCAGTTCCAGTGAGGATTGAGAGACAGCGTCAACTGGAGAGAAAATATCCTAATCCTAAATTCTTATCTCTTGGTCACTGTGCACACATTATCATTTAGAAATTCAAGTTAATTTTAGACCTGTGGATTCTAGAAAAGGAGAAAGTTTTACCCCAAATTTACAAATGTGTATTAGTGGACATACTTTCAAGAGTTCAAAGATGGCTGTGTGGAGGTATTCGATCGTAGTGGTATGGAGACCCACACTCAGGGAAAAGTCTAATGTGTGTTTTGTTAACACAGGGCCAGGAAGGAGTACTGGCAGAATCTTAGGATAGCCTCTGGAAGGCCATACAACCCTTCAATGTCAAAGCCAGATGCCTGGGGAGTGACCAAAGGAACAGCTGAGCTGATGCAGCAGAAAGAAGCCACAACTGAGCAGCAGCTGAGACAGCTCTTTGAAAAACAAAAATTCAAATCTTCACAGTAACCTCAGTGGAACCTATTTCTACTGAATTCCACTATGCTTGGGCCACAGTTCCTAAAAATAAGGAAAAGATGGTTAAAAAGCAATGCTTGTTTTAATGCCAGCCTACACATTAAAAAAGATATTAGCTGTACAAAATAGAATTGCAAGTAGCACTTGACAACTTTGAAAATATGTTTTAGAAGTTTACTTAGAAGCAAAACAAAAAATAAATCTTAAACAGGTTTACTTAGCACCCATGATGTATAAGGTATTAAGGAAATCTCTGAATAAGGAAAAGTAATTCCTGCATTAATCCCAACTCAGGAAGTTTGCAGGCTAATAAGGAGGATGAGACATGAACTGATAACAAATGACTCACACCTGGACAGGGGCCAATAAAATGCTATGGGGAAGTGACTTCCAAACGCTTTTGAGCATGACCTTTAGTAAGAAATACAATATAACGCACATTATCACCCAACCTTTGGAATAAAATTGTGATCCATTCTTGTATCTCTAGTATCTTCTATTCCATTCCTTCCCATCCCTATCTTATTACTAAAATATGCTACTTTTGACATTTCAAATTGATTTTGTGAACCATTAATGGGCTTTGGCTCACAGTTTGAAAAGCACTGCCATGGGACACTTTTTAAAGTTTATTCTTAGAAAATCAGATAGGACTCAATCCATAATTATCCAAGCCCAGAGTACAGATCTCAGAGTTCCAGAGTTGTTCTCTTTGATCCATTTTTCACTACTAATAAACATACAGACCAACAAGGGGGGTGAGCAGATGTAGGCCTTCTACATCCTGCTCAAAATCGAACCCACCTAAATGCCTCCAATTTGGTAAGACTGAGGAACAGCAGAATATATGTTACTTAGGGAACTTTGGGGAAAGAAAAAGTATAATAAAATAGAGATTCTCCAAAATCTAAGTTTCTCAGACTAACAACTGATATTCACTGTAGAATTCAAGCCTGAAAATGGAAGAATAAACATGTCCACTCTGAACTTACCAGAAAAGAGTTTAAACATTCTTGACTTAGTTAAGCTGTTCTGAAATGGTAATTTTCAGCTACTAAAGAATAATGATAAAACATAGCTGTATTTGATTCTTATTTCCATCCTATAATTCACTGCATCCTGTATTAAATCTCTATACTTCAGTTCACCCATCCATTAAAAAAATATTACCTACCTCCAAATAGGGAAAGAAGAAGTAAAACTATCCTTATTTGCAGACAATATGTTCATATGGAAAACCCTAAAGGCATACAAGGAATCCAAATAGGGAAAGAAGAAGTAAAACTATCCTTATTTGCAGACAATATGTTAATTTATATGGAAAACCCTAAAAGCTCCACAGAGGAACTAATCAAAACCATCCACCAGTTTAGCAAGG